GATCACTGGTAGAAGTTACAAAGGTCCTGTGAAATATTGGGATATGAGGTGCTGGCAAACATCCATTTGGATTGACATGGATAAGTTTAACCCTTAAGTCAGGTGCTTGATATGGTGGTGGGTGCATTTTCCATGAGTGAGGTAGAGAAATAAAGTTCATTAGGCTGGAATCTCCAGCATCCCAGAAATTCACAAGGACCAATGAGGAGGCATAGGATACTCAGTGGATTGTCATCCAAAGAACATGTGCCAATGGACACCTGGGTTCAAGGGATAAAAAGGCACCAACTGTCCACTCCATCATCACTTAGAGAGCAGGGGATAATGGGCTAAGAGTCCCAGTGAGAAACAGCTGCCTGGTGCGGCAGGATCATGTGCTATTGTTCCCTTTGTGGGAATGTGCAAGTAGGCACAGAGTCAACAACACAGATTCTGGGAGGATGTTGAAACAACAAACTCAGTTTATTCAGGAAGAGGCAAGCCTTACATACCCTCTACCCCACCCAGTGGGGAGGTCTGATAAACATGCATCTGCTGGTGTGATATGGCTGCCTCTCACTGGTCCAGGTTATCTCTAGATCATGTCTCAGTTGCTGTTGCTAGGGCCCTTAGGCAGACCCAGGTTGACTTTCAGGGAGTATCTTATTACTGGTTTGGGCTGTCTGGACCTCAAGCATAGAGCTGAGTCATCCCATAGCCTGGTGCCAGGACTTCAAGAAAAGGCAGAAGGCAAGACCTGTGCTCAAGAAATGAAGCCTCATATCCAGGGAAATGGCCAGAGGTGTAAAAGGAAGAACTTACAGATCACATCAGTGATGGATGAAGGGGCCCAGCTTTTGGAAAAGAGCTGGTGAAAGTTCCAGTGTCCTGGCCTGCCTCAGACTGCTGCTTGGCAGAAAGGAGGACCAGGAGGGCCTGCTGAGTCATGTGGCACCAAATGTTGTATTTTTAAAATGGCATGACGTGGTCTTGGCAGGTGGGAGTCATTGGGCCAAGATACTGCCTGCTTACTGGCAAGGTTTCCAAGGGGCTAGCCAGGTAATGATTAAATGCTAACAAGACGCTTGCCTTGTTTTCTTGGAGTATTCTCACAACCACTTATGAGACTTCTCCTCATATGACTTCATTTCTGGACCATATTCCAACAAAACTTCATGGCAATCTTGAGATCAAAGCATTTTGACTCAATTCCATACAGATTGTCTTATCCAGTTTTAGGATAACATCTTCCTAGAAGGTAGATATTCTGTTTCTATACATAAATGATGTTCATAGTGGGGAAGAAAATGTCTATGCAATAATTTTTACAATTAGAGAGGTCAAGATGTAGGGAGGCCTATATTTGGAAGATCAACCATGTTAAATAAAACAATTATTGGATTTTGGCAATATATAACTGGGTGGTAGAACTGTCAATCCTTCCATTATTTCCTCCATTGGCTTTTAATTTATAATTATTTCTCTCTCAGCCCTAGTTAAATAATTCTGTTCAGTTGCTTCCTTTACATATTAATTGATTTGTACCTATTTCTTGAATTGGTACATACAATGAAACAATATAAGCATATATTTCCTCAAATAATAAATCATCTCAGTTGTGAAAATCTAAGTGTCATAGGTGGGAAACATCATGATACAGCAAACAAATAACAAAACAAAACCCCATATAATATGAGATTTGGAAATACTCATAAATCAATGCTAAAATGATATTATCTAAGAGTGTGGCATGTTCTATTTACCTAATAGACACTTTAATGGTTTGGGTAATGTACATAAAATGATGTATACAAACCTAAAATATTTCTAAATAATTAAGTTCCTGAGATATAAACACCTTGCTTATGAGTATGTTTTTTAGTGTGAATATATATATATATATATATATATATATATATATATATATATATATATATATATAGTGGATCCATATATCTCATAATTGAACACTGAAAAATCATTTTAGAATTAATATGGATATGGATCTAAGTTTGAAAGACAGTAAGGACTCTTTTGATTGTCAATCACAATTACATATCCTGATTTTCCTGAGCACATTCAGTTTACAGTTCCAGTATCAAATAATTCTACCTGAAAATATTTCATAATTGAAAGCCCAGTGTTCCTTTGCTTTATGCTTTCATCTGCCACAGTATAAGTGTCTCAGGAGAAATTCCTGAGAAGGATTCTTTATTTAGAAAAACATCTATTTGTACCTAATTTGTCAAGTAACTTTCTTTTACAAATGTGAATGATGGCCAGAGCTGTGATGTTATTAATCAAATGTATAAATAGTACCAAAACATTGTGTGTGTTTCTTGTTGTTTTGATTAAGTATTTTGCTTGTTTGTTTGGTCTTTTTTGTTTGTTTCTTTTTTTGAAAGAGAGAGAAAGGACAAGGTGTTGGGTGCTTGGGTAGGGAGGATTTGGGAGGATGGGGAAAGGAAAATCATAATTGGAATATATTGTATGGCTTTTTTCATAAAAGGTGATGATAAAAATAATGTTAATGTTGGGCAAAGTTTTTGTAAAATGATTAATTCATAAGGACAGAGTCCTTAGAAATTGGATTATGGACCTTACCACTAGGACCCAATAGCTCCCTCTCTCCTTCTGCCTCTAAAGAGAATCGAAGGTCAGACTGTCCATGATTTTAAAAAAAATGCACGCTATCAGCACTCTCCACACCAATCTTGATTTGGGACTACTTTTCCTCATAGTTGTGAGATTTATCATATGTGGCATTTTGTTATCACAATTCAAAAAGATAAGAAAAACCACATGGCTGTAAATATTGTTTCAATTATCTTAAAGATTATGTAAAATGTAGAGAAAGTTATTTGTTAAAAATTAAATGGGGAAAATAGGTCAATGATTACCTTTAACCTTCTCAAAGAACATTTGAAATTTATTACATTTAAACAGTCACTTCAGATACACATCAATCTCATTATGTACAACAAGTGAATAAAAGAAAAGGAAAATTAAAGCCATCAATGTCTCAAAATACAATGAGCTGACTCATTATATTATTATGATGAGTGAATAAGCTGAAGTTAAAAGTTTGACTGTTGGACTTATTCAAAAGAATTTATGACTCACACCGAAGCGTCAGCACATTAGTCTTTGGTCTGAAGCTTGCACAGAACTGTGGACCACAACCTCAGAGGCTCTGTTGCCTTAAATGAGACTATCTAGTGAAGTATTCATAGCTTCTTTCCCCTCTCATCCTTTCAAAGCAACACTCTCCTTTTTTAAATATCAACTGACGATTGTAGATAAATACTACTAAGTTAGAAGCATCATTCTAAATAGTCTATATGCTTGGCATGACACATTTAGATTACAAACTAAACAGAGATCATGTAACACTAAGGGCAAATGGGAAACATTCCAAAAAATGGAGTGATGGGAAAGATGATGTCTGTTATTTCTGAATTGCACTTAGACATTTGGTCACAATAATAAAGCCCTCAAGTAAGGTTAATATGTTGACTTCTTTAGTCTTTATAGCTTGCCATTATTCCTATATGCTAGACAGTACCTCAGCAATGTTTTCATTCAATTCAACATACTTATGCCTGTACAGCCGCCCAAATAAAACCAATGAAATATAAAAAGCAGTTTAAGAATACCACTAAAGAAATAATTCATTAATCAGTATTACATTCTTATTTTAGTCTCATATAATTGTATTTTAAAAGAATCATTCAGCAACTCAGGGGTTAATGAGTCTGTATTTGCAGTTTTGCAGCAGCAGATAATGAAGCTAAAAATAATTTCTTCATTTATGTATTAGAATGAACACAATAATTATTGAGTATGTAACTGATGTTTTTATTTGTTTTCACATGTCCTTTCAAATACACAATGCAGCTATTAATAATATGAATGGGGTAGTCAGTCCTTGAGCAAAGAATATTCACAATCTCATATTGAAAACAAATATCTCATACAAATGGAATTAGATTTAACAATGGCTTTGCAAGATAATTATTTATGACCTACCAAAGGGAGCATTTAACCCAGACAATGAAGTGTGTAGGATTGGGAAAGACTGCCAAGAAAAATGATATCAACCAAAAAAAAAAAAAAAAAAAAAAAAAAAAAAACTAGCCAGGCGGTGGTGGCACACGCTTTTAATCTCAGCACTCGGGAGGCAGAGCCAGGTGGATCTCTGTGAGTTTGAGGCCAGCCTGGGATACAGAGTGAGCTCCAGGAAAGGAGCAAAGCTACACAGAGAAACTCTGTCTTGAAAAAACAAAAAAAAAGTGGTATCAATTACAGTCCACGATTATTTTTATGAACACTCTTTCTTTTACCCTTAGCCCACTTCGCACATCTTTAAATCTAAAGATGAGATGGACTTGTAACCCCTAAGAGTTTTGGGACTTCTAGATGCTTCAACTAGAATTCGTTCCTTTCTTTGGTGAGCTTATCTTCAGGTATGAGACAGAGTATTTCAGTCAAGGTTGCTGATCTCCCGAAAACTACACTTAAACTAACGAAAACTACACTTCAAACAGAAACTCCAGAATTATCCTGCACAGACTCCATTCTATGACAGTTTTGAAGCTGATTAAGCTATTTATTTGCTCAAGTAGTTTATGTCCGTGACTTACACTAGATGATAGCACTTATGATCATAAACAAAAGATAATTCATCATTAAAAAACTTATAATACAGGAAAGCACATAATATAGCATGATGCTTATGGTTTATAATCCAGAATCCAATTATGTAGTCTAGCCTCACTTTGACACAGATTTCTCTTGCCAATTGCTGTATCATTCTAGTATTATTGGTAGGTGTCCATAAGTTTGTATTATGAAAATAATGTTTCAGTATGAGACTTGAAAAAAAAACATCAAAATGAAGAATAAAGTAATTGTATAGATGCTATTGCATTCAATTTAATAGAATATACAATGCAAGTACAAGCTAGCTTACTTAGTCCAATATTTTCAGATGTGGGAGCCTGAGGCAAAGGGTTCACAGTTTCAAAGCCAGCCTGGAAAACATGGCGAATAGCTAAAACTGCATGTGAATGAAGAAATGTGGTGATGATTCTGAAGAAATATTTAAAACCATCTATTTATTTTAATTTTCTTCAAAGCTTCTTTTACATCCTTGTTTCTCAGGCTGTAAATCAGTGGGTTCAGCATGGGAATTACAAGAGTGTAAAATAGAGAAGTCATCTTGTCTTGATCAAGGGAATAAGAAGAACTTGGACGAAAATATGTGAAGAGTAGAGTTCCTTGAAAAATAGCAACTGCGGTCAAGTGTGAGGTGCAGGTGGAGAAAGCTTTGAACCTCCCCTCAGCAGAGTGGATTTTTAAGACTGATGAGATGATATAACAGTAAGAAACAAGGACTCCTGATATGGTGCTCAGTTCAAGGAAACCATAAATAGTGAATAATGCCAACTCATTTATTTGAGTATCTGAGCAGGAAAGAAGGTAAAGTGGAGGTAAATCACAGAAGAAATGGTTGATTTCATTGGATCCACAGAAACATAAACGGAATGCCAAAGTTGTATGTATCAAAGCATCAGATGTTCCCACCAGGTAAACCCCAGCCATGAGCATGGAACACAACCTGTTCGACATGTTCACTGTGTAGAGCAAGGGGTTGCTAATGGCCTGGTACCTATCATAGGCCATCACTGCCAGCAGTACACACTCAGAATCTGCAAAGGTGCAGGAAATGAAGAACTGAATAGCACAGCCCCAGAAGGGAATTGACTTGTTCTTGCCAAATATATCTACCAGCATCTTGGGGCCAATTGCTGTGGAATAGCAGAGATCACAGAAAGAGAGGTGGCTCAGGAAAAAATACATAGGTGTGTGGAGCTGTGAATCAATTCTGATCAAAATTATCATACCAAGATTCCCCAAAAGATTGATGAGATAGATGGGTAGAAATACGGCAAAAAATGTCCCTTTCATTTCAGCATTATTGGTAACTCCCACAAGAATAAATTCAGTCAATGAGCAATTTCCTGTATCCATTCTTTCTTCCTCTCTATGCTTGTGAGGAAATAACTAGAAAAAAATTACAAACGCAATTTAACTTCTAGATATCAACAAAGTATTTATGAGGTAGAATACAATTCAATCATTTCTCATCTATTTTATAGCATAAAAATGTCAGAGTGCTGTTTCTTTCTTATAACCATTTTTAACCTATTTGCTAATAACAAATAACGGCATCATCGGAGATAGACAGTTGAGAAACTGAGAAGCATCTATGAACTATTAAAGGCTCATCACTTTTTGCCAGTTCTGTAATGTACATAATGCAAACATTATTTTTTGCAAGAGTTTGATTTTGATATATGGATTCTCATTTGATCTTTGTAATATTATGAAATAAATATAGATGTTAGAGACACAGGCTATAAATGAAAGAGGACATTATTTCTATTCTTTAATGTATTAATACACAAATTTGATTATTTTATTTCTAAATGATCAAATGAGCTTAAAAACCTTTTTTTGGTTTACAAATAATCATTAATTAATAACTATAATAATGACTACATATGTTTAGTTGTAGAAATGCAAAACAAAAATTTACTAGTAACAACAAAGACAGCTATTGCTTCTTTGTTTTATTTTTAAATGTTTTTAATTGAAATAAAGTTACATCACTTCCCCTCCCTTTTCTCAGTCAAGCCCCACTCTAGCTATCCACCTCATCCCACTCCATGACCCCACTCTCTGATAGCAACCTTTTATTATATTTCTTATATATATACACATATATATGTGTATGCACAAATATACATAAATATAGAATCTGGTGACTATTTTTGTTGGTGGTATGTAATTGGTTTAAATGCTAGCCATTTTTCTTGGTCTATGTAATGTTACCTTAGGATTTACTGAGATATAAGATAACTTATCTGATCATTGATTTTTACAATCTGTTATGTTTCACAATAGTACTCCTTACCCATCATTAGCAGTGGTCTGGTACCAAAGGATAAGTCTTCTGACAAGTTAGATGGTTAAAAACAAGCAGCATCCATAAAATAAATCACATGTAGTTGTGTCAGGAGCAATTTTCAGGAGACATTACAGGACACAGGATTATGTAGTAGAGACTCAGCGGTCATTTGATAAGATCAACCCACTAGTATTAACTAGTCTACTGAAGGAAACCATCATGCAAGGCATTTGGGAAATACTGCCTTTCGAATGAATTGTCTGTTTTCTTGTTGTAGCCTTTTCCCATTTGTTACAAAGTTGGGGGAAATTAATTTCCCATAGTTTAGAAGTGTTTGATCATCCATAGTCACAATTTTCCCTATGCATTTGGGCTACGTTGATAATATCCCTTAGCTATGTGTAAAAACAGTCACACAGTCAAAACCTGTTTTCCACAAGCAGGTCTTTTTCCTTTTTCCAACATAAATTTAGAGGTTTGCCTTTCTGTTATTATCTTCATTGGCAGGCATTTGGTCAGTGTTAAACATCCAGACAAAATTATTTCATTTGAAACATTTTCAGACACCCAAGGACAGCCTTTAGATAGATAGGGTACAAGCATGCCCTGAGCTCACCTTGCCAGCAGATAAGAAAGAGCTGCCTCAAGCTAACCTCACACTAACAAATTCTTAATATGTTGTACTTACTTTCACCTCTGTTCATTAATTAGCTTATAATCTAACCACATTTAGGAATGCAGTATTACACATGGATTCCCTCTTTTCCCTTCTTAGATTTCCCTATTGATTTAAGGTCTCTCTCGCTCTCATTCCCTTTAAGAGTTCAATGAGGGTTTTGCTAGTCACTCCCATTTTGAGCCATAAAGGAAGCCTGACAATTTCCACCTTGTGAAGTTTTATCTGCCTTTATGATCCTTAAAGAATTCAAGCCTTGTGACCTTGCGTTGGCCAGAGAATTGCTTTTTTTTTTTAATGTGTATAATACTGAAAACTTTGGAGACTCAGGGTTGAACAAAGAGAGAAGAGCAGAGGCAGAACAATAAACGACTTGGATAGAAAGAACACGATGTGAGTAGATTCATTTCCCATTCCTTAGATTAGTCCCTTCACTGGTTTTAGAGTCTCCTTTGAACTCTGGGAGAAAGCCTTGGAAGCTGGACCTTAAAGGCTTTCATTACGGTTTGGTTTCACTACTTACATTTTCTTACCAATTTAAAAAAGCAATGAAGCACAATAAATGTTCTAAAATATGTCTGTTTTCTTGCCTATGTATATATTTTCATGTATGTGTTTCACATATGTATATATGCATATACCTGTGAGTTTAGATAAATATTAGAATTTCAATGATGGTTACTTTTGCCTTTTTAAGATTATGTAAATAATATGCAAAGTATTTCATAATGCAATAACATTGTAAGCATTATTTGTGACACAGTAATCCAATAGTTTTTACTTGATATTTAAATCACTTAAATCCATATATATATACATATATGCATAAAAATAAAAATTCTTATGTTGCAATCTTAGAATGAAATAGTGAAAATGCTATGTTGCTGATATTATAAGGTTTTATGAGAGTCAAGTTTAAAAAATTATTTTCATTCATTGGATTTAATCTTTAAAACTGAGCAGGAAGTAAAATCATCACTAAAAAAATTGTTTCTAATGAGGTAAAATTGAAACTGCTTTGCTCTTACCCTGTTTTTGAAAATAGAGATATGTAGGAACCCACCTGAGAAGAGTAGCTCTTAGGTGCCTGAACACTGTTACAGTGGTATTTTATTATGCCAACTGTCATTTGGGACTGAACTTTGTGAAATAATTTCCCCCAGGCTTTGGTGTGACCAATTAATATCTTCTATATTCTTCACTGTAAATACATCACCAGTTTTAGCAAACATGTAGCTTGAAGTGTTCATAGCTTTATTTATTTCAGTAAGGATACCACAAGGTACATATATGTGTATACAGGTATAGGTACAAATGTATGTATATGTGCATATATGGGCATATATATATATATATACAGACATATACACATACATATATTTACATGTATTATGTATTACATATATATTTGTGAGTATACATGATAAAGTAGTTAGTGCTCTTCAATCTCAGGATCCATTCCTATCTTCACTTTTAAAAGTACTCTTCGGTTAGTCATAAAGTTAACGATCTTTATAGATATATTATTTTTAAAAGGGTATTTTAATTGCAGTGAAAGCCACTGTCACCCAAATTTCCTAACCACAAAATATTTTCAAGAAATTATTTTAGTTTACAAAATGTTTAGTAAAAATAGTATTTTCTCTCATACAATACATCCCAACCATAGTTTTCCAGCCCTCCACTCCTCCTAGTTCCCCCTCTGCCCCTCTCTCCCAGATCCACTCCCTGTCCAACTACATTTCAAAAAAGTGTAGGCCTCCAAAAGACAATAGCCAAACAGGACAGGACAATATGCAATAAGACAAGGCAAAAGTCCTCCTATTGATGCTGGACAAGGCAACTAAATAGGTGGAAAGGTGTCTCAAAAGCAGGCGAAAGCACCAGAGATAACATTATGTTGAAGAGAGACAGAAATAGTACTCATGGAGTCAAAAGAAAATATTGAATTCCCTAAGGCTATAGTAATATTAGGTAGTGAGTCACCTGATTTGTGTGCTAGAAACTGAACTTGAAGGTGTACTATGCACTCGTAAGCAATGAGCCATCTCTCCAGCCAAGCAGAATATATTTTAAGGCATTATAATGTTCTTCTTTTAATTTTAGCTGAGGTTTCATTATTTAACTACATCTGAAACACATTGTTTATAATACACCAGTTGCAGTTTCTCATTGTGTCATGTTGTAGAATTAATATTGTAAAATTGACAAGTCTACCAAAAATAGTTTACAGATCCAACACATTCTCAATTAAAATCCCTATTTCAATCTTCACAGAAAAGAAAAATACTTTAAAATTGAAACAGAATCACAAAAGACTCCAAATAGGGCAAAAATATTTATCAAAAAAGAAAAATGCTGAGGTATTGTCAGACCATATTTCAATATATTTTACAGGGCTATAATTAAAAAAAAACAGTATAGTACTGTCACAAAAATTGCACATGTGGACCAATAGAATCAATCAAAATATCTAAACATCTGTCCTCCTAAGTACTGCCATCAGAGATTTGGCAAAGAAGCCAAAAACGTAAACCAGAGAAATGACCATATCTTCAATAAATGGTACTGAAACACTGGGTGTCCACATGAAAATCAATGAAATTAGACATATCTCTATGACTGTACAAAATTTAATTCAAAATGATCAAAAACCTCAATATGAAACTGAAATGTTGATTTTTCTATTATAAACATAAGCAGTGCCTTGCAAGATATAGGTATAGAAAAGATATAGAAAGATATAGAAAGGAAAAAGAAGACTGTCCAGGAATTGAGTCCAAATTTATAAAACTTAAATAAAAAATTATAATCATAAAGTCCAAAAGTTCCTACTAAGAAAACAGTCATACAAGTGAAGAGGAAACTCACAGAATGGGACAAAAAATGGGCCAACAATATGCACAATAGAGAATTACTATCTGGTTATACAAGGAACCCCAAAATCGAAGTCATGAAGAGAAGTGAGACATTTACAAATGGGGTGAGTATGAACTGATTGTTCTCACTCAGAGATATAAATATGCTTCATCAGCTTTAGCAATTAGGGAAATGCCAATTAAATTATGCCCATTGCTAAACTACAGACAGATATAAAATAGCTTAAAGGGATTTTCATATTTCTTATTTAAATCAGAAAAGACCATATAATGTGTTTTCTTTAAGGAAAATGGCACTTCTGGCTGAAATGTTATAGTGAACCATTGTTTTAAAATTCTTAGGTATTCACTACATTAGATATTTTTGAAATTCCAATAAATTATAAATATTATTTAACCATAATACAACTATTTAATGAGAATTTCATTATTATAAAATTAACATTTATTTACCTATAATTAACAGAAGAAACTGTCCTCAATTTTAATTCAATTTCATCTAAATTCACAATGATAATATATGTAATTAAATATATTTTCTTCAAATATAAACCATTCAAATTTACATTACTGTTCATGTAATTATTTTTAAGACTTTATGTATTTTTCTTTAAATTAGTCTTTTGTGTTTCTTTGTGTATGTGTACCACCTGTTTGTGTTGAAATCTTAACCCAGTCCTCTGGAACATTTACAAGTGCTCTTAGTCACTGTATCATCATATTTCCAGCCCTTAACTTTACATTACTTTTGT